CTGGAAACAGATTAAAATTTCGGATTTAGGTGATTAGTATCTACCTAAATCTTGTTTCAGGTATCTGAATTCTCATAAACTTGAAAACCTGCAGCATCCAGTTTCCAATTTTTAACTGTCATGACTACAGCAGCTCTCTGACACATACTGGAATGATGGTGACATGACAGTTACTTCCCTAAAGCCAGCAGAGTCATACTGGTTTGAAGGTGAAGAGATGAGCATCATGCTGCCAGTTTGTGTGATGGAGATCAAAGTGCTGACCCTGGGCTCACTTCCTGTGCACAGCGGCACACACAGTTGTCTGTATTTGAACTTAGCCCAGGAGCAGGGCCCCTGGATTCATCAGCAGCTACCCAGCTTAAACTGTGACTGGGATCACAAGGCTCAACATCACTTCTCTGTGCTTCCCCTGAGGAACGGGCACTTTGCCTCACAGCTTGAAAAGCTGACACGGTCCCAACGCTATGTGGAGGTTGCGCCGAGTCCGCTCAAGCTGCAGTTTGTTCCACAGAACAAGTGAAGGTGTGAGACGGCATCTTCTCAAAAGCCTGGGTTATGCAGATGGAGAATTTGAGATGTGAATGAACAGGCACACAAAAATAAATGGTTTCATCAGCCTTTGACAGAAGCTGTAATAGAACTGCCAAACTAATCCTCCTTTTATAGACAAAAGTGTATGTAATTTTAATATATATCACAGAGAGGCCTGTCTGTTTGGCACAATGGGAAGATATGCCAGCTCAGATAACAGGATCAATCAAGGCAGCTGCATCACTGAGGCATTTCATACAGGAAAATTCCTAACATGCCGGATACTCTGGATACTGTCTTATTGCAACACAAAGTCTCTGTGAGTATTTCAGAGTATTCCTCCTTCAGATACCTTGCTTAAAAGACAAATGTCCCTGTAGAGAGGGAGGAACCAAAGCCCATGCACTATTTCTACTTCATTTAAGGCCTCTACAAGACCTACTGTAGGATGCTGGCAATATATAAAACATCTGGCTGCCTGCATACATGAGATTTACCAGGATATAATCCACTTGTGAATACTAAGAGGACAACAGATGCAAAAGGTTTACAGTGTAAGAAAAGGAGATTATTTTTGCTCTGTGTGTTTGCAGCTCCAGCACAGCTATTACTTTTCATAGTGGCAATGCTTACATTTTGTAGAGTCCCAAAGTGCTTACTAACAGCTAAAGTAAAGGTTTCTTATTCTTACACTGAGATCAGAACATTTCATAAAGACCTATCATGACTGCAGTGAAAATCCATAATGTAACATGGTATCTCTACGTCAACTGGTGTTTGTTTGCTTCATGATCTTAAAACAATCACTATTAAAATGCAGCTATAGCCCAAGAATGGCACCCCACAGAATACAGTCTCTCTCTCTTCTGTATCACATTTGCTCAGCTTATGGTAAAGGTAAGTTTTTCCAATTGACAGCCTGGTAAACGGGACTTCAAAACCAGGTAATACAGCTGCATTATTTCTACCTCTTACCTAATTACCAGAAATGGACTTCTCTTTTTTTAAAGAGAGTATTGAACACTGCTACTATTGAGAAAAATATTTACAAGTATTCTTCAAGTTAAAGTGGTTTCAAAACACCAAATTTAACACAGAGTGTGAAAGGAATATGGGTGTGACATCTGTGAGAATGGGTAGGGAAATCACCTTCTGTGCCCACTATACCACTGTCCCACCAGTGAAACGCTCTGCTAAAAGTCTGGAAAAAAGCAACACGCATGCTTTTAATGCAGAGAGCCCCATATAACCATCAATCAAGTCTTTACTTCTGAATCATCAAATTCCCGGCAAGGCTTCTCATCTCTGCTGAGAGATACTGGACTATAAAGGTCTGCATTTAGAAACGGGAGATACTGTGTGGTCTCCTTAGTGACAGAATACGGTGATAAATTCCAAACTGCAAAATTTAAATGTATAACCTGTTGAAGAAAGAGGTGGGAAGAGTGTTAAGGTTTTCTCAGAGCTGTGAATCATTAAATCTTTAGTTACTACATGCTACCCACTTAAGCGTGTGTAACAACTATCTTTGTCCATCTCTCACTTTAGGTTTGGTTACATTGCTGAGGACCTGCCCAGGTAGTTTTTTCCTCCTCTTGCTTTCTTCTTCTTGCTCCTAGTCCTTGCTAACACAAGGCCTTATTAAAAGTATCTGTACTTGTACTCCGTTAAAGTTTTGCATTTCTGCAAGGGTGGTTTCTGTAGCAATTCCAACTGGTATGCTGGTTTGGAAGGAGGTCTCCTTGGTTGGTTTGGAGATTGGTTTTCAAGCCTCATTATAAAAAAAAAAGCAAATCCATGTTCCTGCCTGCCTACCTTGTACAACACAGGGCTGGATAATAATAGCTATCCCATCTGAGAAACCCAGCTAACAGTATTGAGAGGTCTTCCAGCCTCACTTCAGTCAAGTGTTTTTGAAAGACAAAGAAATGAGCAGGACAAGCCACAGCAAGAAATTACCACATATGCTTGCTACAGAAGAGAGCGGAATAATACCACACAGCACAGCATATATTATTGCTGGGAAACAGGATTTCTTTCTGTGGGACAGCATTATATGAGAGTAAACTGTCCTTCTATACTCATCCAGATTTCCAAAGCAATAATTTTTTGAAGAAGATATACAAAATTGTATTATAAGAATCTTCACCAGGAGAAAGCCAGGATAAATCCTGGAGCAGTTCAGCTGGGAGGAGAACACTCCAAGTACAGCGAGAGGACACTGAGGCATGAGCTCAGACCTCAGCACTCTTACAAGCACTGTGTGTTATGGTGATACATTGGGTTTTGTGATAGTGCCAAATACTTGCTTGGTTACTAGAACTTGGCAGGCTGGGAGTCTCTTTGTCATATCTAGTCCAATGGGGCAGGGTCTCACTTGGGGTCTGTCAGCATTAGTTTAAATTTGATACCAGTTATTTCTTCCTCTGACTTCTGTTGTAAGGATTTCTGTTTAGCTGTGTATTAGTAAATGGAACTTAAGTAATTTTTGCTCTCTTTTCCTCTTTTCTTTTTATTTAAATCTATCAACATCCAGACTGAATAAACCTAGCCCTGTACTCTGTGCTATAATTACACTTTCTAACCATACATTTTATTTTAAGATATTCAGCCAGTATTCCTGAACTTAAAGAGCATCAGAGTGTAGATTAAGAAAGCTTCAGTCTGGGTGTATTGGAAAATCAGCTATTTGCTTCATCTAGAGGTGCTTGTCCCCTTTTCTTTGAAGAGACGACATAACAAGATTCTCCATCAAGATTCAGATTCCAATTTCCCTTGAGGCTTTTAGATCCATCTATATAAGCAGTCTGGTTGAACAAAGAAGGGAAGTTCTACTGAATAAAGGCTCTGAGCCAGTAACATAAAGTGGAACAAATAATGGATCAGACCCTAAACACATTTTCTCAGTACAAATATCCTATCCTGAGAGTCAGCACAGCATCCGGGCAGCTCGTAAGTCTGTTTCTGGCAGCCTAAAGGTACGCATAGAACACTGTGTTAGCTCTCCCAGACAGAGATGAGTAACAGTCAGAACTGTACCCTTCTCTTCCACTAACAAAACCAGGGCAGCTGGTTCCAGAGCCAGAGGCTCACACAAGGACAGGAGCAGACCATGGTGAGCAGCTGGGTGGGCAAGGGCTATGGCGCAAGGGCAGGAAGCAGAGGGCAGGGCTGCCGAGAGCTTGCAGGGATGGAGGGGTTGCTCATGGCATGGCAGATGGTGGCTGCTCTTCCCTTGTCTTCCAGAGCTGGAAGCTCCCACAAGGACAGGACGAGACCACGACGAGCAGGCGGGTGAGCAAGGGGTTCTGCTGGAACCTGGCCTAACACAGCCGAGTTTGGCACCTCATCCTGCTGAGACGAGTGCAGCCACAACACAGGGCACGGTGCAAAGTGGGCCAAATGACACACTCAGAAAGAATGCGGCTTGAAACATAAATGAAAATAACGTGCAAGCCTGGCACAGAATTGTTCCTACAGAATGAGTTAAAACAGGCACTGGCTGATCCAGACAAAGTTAACACGCATTCAAACTTGAACAGCTATCTTTTTTGCTTGCAAACATCACCTCGATATTCATGGTATTTAAATTTTCAAACACTGCAGTTGTGCATTGTCCTATAAATGTGGTGTTACACTCCTCATGAAAAACACAGACTTGTTTACAGTGGTTTGTCATAATGTAGCATAGTGATCTCAGAGTTATAGCAGACATTAATAAACATAATTAATTTTTAAAATGTTGATTTTACAACTCCTCTTTTCTTTTATACGTAGAAGCAAATGCATGGATTTACTGGTTACAGATTAGGGAATCAGATTATTATACAATTCTGCCCTTAAAGAAATATTTTAGGGATATTCTAACACGCATTTACATAAATTATAACAGCATTTCTATTTTGAAAAATAATCCAATAAAATGGAAAATACCATTAAAAAATGGGTCTCTTAGGGGTTGTTCAGAATGTTGCTTTGGTCACAGAAGACAGGTTGGTTTACATACTTCAAATGCAGATGTTTTATTTTCTGTTTACGTGTACCTGTCATTATCTTCCAAATAACATACTGTACAAAGGGGGAGGGCAGGGATAGTTGCTTTTCTGTTTAAGAAGAATGAAGTTGGAAAAAACTATTTATTTTAAATATTTTCTGAAAAAAGAAAACATTTTTCTCTCTGAAAAGAGAAAAACTGCACAATAAAAAGTGTGATGTCGAAAATAAAATTTCTACAGTTTGAAAGAGTAATAAAAAGCTATTTTAATATAACCACTGTATGAAAGTTTAATTTAATTTCTAATCAGAGCAGAATCTCTTCTTAAAATGCTATAATTTGAAACATACCTGTCACAGTTAGGTCCTACCCTGTTGATCAATTTTTCCATAGCATCTTCTGTCTCTCTTAGTTTTTCCTGCAGTTGAGTGAGCTCATAGTCAGCTGTAAAACAAACACAACCCCAAGATCTGTCAGGAGGAACTTTGACCATGTAGTCCTGTCCCATTGTCACAGGTAGCATATGCTGTACCAAACAAAACTTGCAGCTTAAAGAGATCTACCTACTTTTCCTGGTATAAGAAGGTGAAGACTATCGCCAATGGTTATAGGACACACAGAAACCACCTTCTTTCAAAGGTTCCCACACTACCTTCCAATGAGCAGAGCAAGTGGGCCACGGTAAATGCCCTGGAAATTAAAGTTAAGGAAATGGAAATACTTTGTGGTTGGTTTTTTTTTTAATGAGGAAACCATAGTGGTTTACTATCTACTGCAGAATTTCCCTGTTAAATCCTTGGGAACAGAGAGAAAAGGTCACTCAAACATTTTCTAATGAGTCTAAGGTTTGAGAAATCACATCTTTATCAAAGAGAATAAAGTTCAAGGTCTTGATGGCATCCAACCCTGCACAGCTGTGCCAGGGCTGGCAGTGAGTACTAATGACCTGCCAGGCTTACTGGGATGCACAACAGCTAGACATGGTGTCTGTCTGGGAGCCAAGCACTGTGTTGGCATGTTTGCACCTAGAAAACAAAAGTGTCTGTAGCACAACAGCAGACACACGTGCATACATGCAGGAACATACTGGCTTTATTTAACTGAAAGGGTTAACAGCAAAGAAGCAACACCATGGATGTCAACAAAAACGCTTGAGCTCCTTGTTTGGTTTTTGTAGCTCACGCTCAAAATCCTATAGCTGAGACTTCATTGTTCCCAACTGCAGAACAGAATGAAACCAGCCTGGGTCAGTCAAATCCTCAGCTGCTGCAGACACAGCCATGTAAGCGGCAGAAAGCCACAATGGAACTCCAACATAGCAGG